ATTGCTTGCTCATGGTGGTACTGGTGGGTCTCTGTAAATGTTATAAGGAGTTCAGTCTAGACCTGCTCTATTTGAAAAGTGTCCTGAGTTAACTTCTGTCTGTTAGACAAATAAAATTGAATTGAATTGAATTGAACCTGGGAACTTATGGAGGTTCACTAGCAACCTTGAGAGAAGTGATTAACCTGAAACACGTTTCTATTCTTTCTCAGTTTTGGTCCATGAGCCAAAGGCCAAACAGGGAGTCATACACCAACTGAACTAGGATTAGAGATGGGATTTACACGTTTCTATTGATACCAATACCATTATCAATTCTGCTTATCAGTCTGATTCGTTGTCAATTCTGTTTTTTCCATACAAAAAAAAAAAAAGTGGAGCAGCAGTAGAAGAAGTCCTGCACCTGAAACACATTCAGGTGATGCATGTATAATAATATCAGTTACATTATTTTTACAGTGAGCGCAGCGGTTTCTGCAGCTGTCTCCGGTGTTCTAAGTCTTTTCTCCTCCTTTCAGCACAGAGATTGGTCCATAATGAAAATTGCAGAATTGCAAACACCATAGTTTGCATGGTTTTAGTTAGCAAAGATGCACACACAGAGCTCTATAGACTTTTAGTCAGATTTTTTCCTTTATTAATTATCTGCACCATCACACAGCAGCAGAAACCATATGTGCAGCTTTAAAATTATTTACTTTATTAATGGGGATTAATAAAGTAAATCTTCTTCTTCTATAGAATAAAGTCCCAGGTAGCACTAACTTTAATACTGACATATGAAGTTTGTTTTTATCTTCCTATCAGGATTCCAAATGTTGGTATATTTCCTCGTGTTAATCTGTCTGACCACCAATTTTCTGTTTATTTTTCTAAATTAGAAGGCTCCATTTATGAGTTTAATTTCCAAAAACCACATTGTTATGCACCACAGCCCATCTGCAGGCCCTTTAGAGGCATTATTGCTCCCAATAGATCAGCTGTCTCTGGTGAAGATCATTTGCACATATAAAATAGAATCCTTGCAAAGCCAGGAGAGGGCCAATCTGCTCTCTGATTCACTTTTCATGTTATAATGAGAGCTGTTTGTTTGAGGAGAAGATGGGGGGATATAGCAGGAGAGAGAAGAAGAGACGGGATGAGATGAGAGGGGATGAGGAAACAATAGAGGAGAGGAGTGGAGTGTAGAGGAGAGGAGGAGGAGAGAGAGAAGGAGATGAGATGAAGAAAGATGGGGATGGAAACAAAGAGAGGAGAAGAGAGGAGCAATGAACGGAGAGGAAGAGAGGAGAGTAAACAAGGTATGGACAGGAAGAGAAACGAAACAGAGAGACAAGAAGAGACGAGAGGAGAAAAGAGGAATCAATAATCGAGGGGGGAGGAGGAGGAAAGGAGAAGAAACAAGAAGATTAGTAAAGTGCAGTGGACAGGGAAGGAGAGGAGAGGAAACAAAGAGAGGAAAGTAAAGGAGAGGGGAGAAAACAAGGAGAAAGGGGAGAAGAAGCTGTCAGTCTCTCACATGAAAGAATGTTTTTATTTTTCCTGTCTCTGTCCATCACTAATGGCCACTGTGGTCTTTTTAACAGCATTAATGGAGCGCTGTGTGAAGAGGCAGAGCGAGGCCTTATCACAGCTCCGTCTCTGCTCACACTCACAGCTGAGAACGTACAGGCCTTTCTCTGTCCAACACAAGAGGAAGAAAGAGGATGAGAAAGGGAAAAAAGGGAGAGAGATGATGTTCAGCTGCTGCTAGGAAACACACTGTATCTGGGTCCCACTCATCATCGCAGTGTGCTTCATGATAGCACAGCTGTCAGGGGAACACAAGCCTTTATAGTTCTCCATGGAGGAAAATAGGCTATAAAAACATGTGCAGCCATACAGACTGAAAACAGACTGACAGCAAGTAGATACATCATGGTGCTGTGTGGACTGCAGCTAAATGGATGTTGTGCAATGCCTAACTTGTTTACAGGCCAAAAAAATGACTTTTGTTTGGTGGATGGAGTATTTACAGAGAATGTATGAGTATTTATTCTGATTAATTATTGAATAAGCAGGGAATTTGTGTGCCAAATAGAAAAATCACGTCAGGGGCATGGTCAGCATGATCAGTGAAGACCAGTCATTGATAAAAGCATCATTAAAGTTGCAGTAGGTAACTTTTTGTCTTATTTGCTGAAACTTAAGTCCCACTGTCCACTGTAAAATAAGTCCCTAACCACTGAGAGCTTAAGATGCCTGTTTACGGTATATGTGTGTATGTGTGTGTGTATCTGTCCTACACAAACATATAGCACCTATTATGACCTCTGTGGCTGTGAGTCTCACCAGGAAAGTGGCGATGGCCGTGCCGATGATGAAGCCGGCAATGACGTCCGACCAGTGGTTGCGGTATTCGGCCACGCGGTTCAGACCGGTGAGGAATGCCAGACACATGAGCCCGAGAGACAGCACCGGCTTGGCCAGACGGGTGCCCTTCGCCTGCACCGTGCATGTCACATACATCTGCCAGGGGAGAGAGATGCAAGCATTTGATCATGTGAACTTCTTAACATCGTGGAAAATTACCTGTTTTGGCAGTTTTTCAGGTAAGACGCATGGAAAACTTTTTATAATAATTTTATCATTATTAGAACCAATTGTTATCCCCATGAATTCAAACTCACAAAAGCTGCTCACCATTAAACATTTTACAGGTACCTTGTAAGCCAAAGTGGATATTTTGATTCTGCTATGTTTCTACAGTAGCCAAAAAGGGACATACCAAACACTGGGTCTAGATAGAGAATTCTGTGTTTCACAGTCACTGTATTTTCTCCTACACTCATGGAAGGCTGAGCTGTGCTCTAATGGTTGCATCAGCAACTTCATCACTAGATGCCACAAAGTCCTACACACTGGTCTTTCAAATAATTCCTGCTTGAACTTTGTTAAATTAAACCATTAATTAAATTAAATTTGCCTATATAATTACAGATGAATAATATGACTGCACTATAAGGTGCAATAAAGGTATCTCTGTGGTGAAATGCCACCAGACAGCTGTGACTGTGTGTAAATATGAGCTGATATGTTAAGTCCCTCCTCAGGGCATCTTTCTATTTTCTCCCCTGTATTTAGAGAAGTGCTGGCAGATCTGCCACTGGAACTACAGGATGAAAAAATAAATAGAAGGGCGAGAGGAAAATAAGGAGAGAAAAGCAGATGGAGAGTAATAGATAGATAGAAAACAGGGGAGGAACGACAGAAAAGAAAGCTGAGGAAGAGGATGATACCCGGAGGGAGAAAGGCATAAATAAGTGAGGTGAGGTGAGGTGAGGTGAAAAGAAGAGGAGAGAAGGTGACAAGCCCAAAGAGGGGATGAGATGAGAGAGCTGATAGGAGGAAAGAAGGGCTAAAGAGAGGAAATGTATACTCAAGGTTCCGTTCCATTTAATGTAGCAAAGTCGTTCCAGTGAGCCATCATGCACAACAGCAGCACCCTGACTCTGTTTTACTTGAATGGAATGAAACCTTTATTGGTAACACCTTTGTTTACCCTGCTAATTAATGTTAACATGGCTGCTGTGAAAAAGGTCTGCTGTGTAACATTTGTGGAGGATGGTAGTGTTTTCCAGAGTTGTCTCTCTGGCCAACACGTTCTCATCCCATGCCGCCTCTTCACAAATCTTATTATGGCAACGGCCTAGCTGCCAATCTCTACCTCTGACTGGCTTAGGCTGCCGTCAAATGTTTTTTTTGGCTGAATTTTTGTCCTTTTATTTTGATAAGTTAATGGTCTGTCTCCGAAGAATGACAGAAGTTTAGCAGTGCAGTACACTCACTGAGGTGAAGAATGAGTGAGAGGAAAAACAGCTGTAGAGCCAGTCTATTTTCACAACTAACTGCTGGTAAACTAAGGGTTTGTCTGATGATAGGGAAAGGACAGGGAAAGGCCAGGAGAGGAGAGGCATGAAGCAGGTAAAGGAGCGAGGGAGGTTGGGCATCGGGAAAATTTGAACATATTGCCCAACCCTATCTTAAACAGATGCCAAAGGGTACCTTGCATTAGAGGTGTCAAAATTATGGTATTTGACGCCCTGGGAAAGAGAATGGGCTGGTCTGGCTGCTTAAATACCACAAAAACAGCCTTAAGCAGGTGCAGGTGAAACATATGCACCATACAATAGTTCCATACAATTCTTTACAGAGTATGTCATTTTTAAATGAATAAGTGTATTTTAACAGCTGCAGACCTATGAGTCAGCATGACCGGGCTGATTTAACACCAGATCCGAAGCACACTCACAGTCACACACTTTAAAATGTGAACACAGCCTTGTGGAATTTCATTCAGCACAAGCAGACAATGTGTTTTAGGATTAAGCCTCCACACTAGAGCTGCTTCCTTAACAACAACCATGTGATATCTATCCAATCGGGCCTCATTTTAGTGGCATGATATCAAACTTGGAGAAGACAGAGGGAGGAGGGGCAGAGAGAAAGAAAAAGACAAATATAGACCAAAAGAAACATGTCTATGTTTGGCTTGAATCACTAATCTGTTGTATTGAGGCAATAGACAGCCTCTGAGGGCCTAACTTTATTTTTCATTAAGTGCACAATCTCCTCCAAGGCCAGATCAAATGTTTCTATTTCTCTCTCTGCAATTCATTTATTCTTCGTCTCATTTGGTTATTCAGGATCATGTTTTTACACTTGCAGGATAAAATGGCTACACGGCAGAGAGCATTCTGCAAGCTTCTATATCCTTCATTAACAGGTAAATGAAGGTGCTCTGTTTATATTCTCAGAAGTCTTAATTAATAAGCACATTCTGCTGAAAGAACCCAGCGTAATGGTCCACATTTCCTTAAGCAGTCACCTGATACATGACCTGCCAGGCTCTCTGTCCTTCTCTTCTTCTGTAAACTGCTGTTTGACACACACACCAACACACTTTCTCATTGGAAACACAGTGGGCTCTATTTTCATCAATCAGTGAGCACAGTGCAGATCAAAGTGAAATGCGTCCTGCTCAGTGCATCAAGGGTGTATCAAACACACTTTTTTGGTGGCCAGGCTCGACTGGTGCACCTGTGGCTCTCTGGAGTAATTTCTGGACTGGCAGAAACATCTGGTTAGACCTTCAAAATGAAGCTTGAGTGGTTAACATTGCGAAACAGTTGCAGTTTGGTAAGGTTTATGAATAAAACTACTTGGTTAGGATTAGGAAAAGAAGTTAAGTTACGTACCTGATGTAAATGAATAAAACGTAACTTACGCACCCATAAAAAGTTTTGTTAATAGCCCAGGCTTTTATTTGCTTCAATCACTGAACTCAACTTACCTTTATATGGGGCAGGCCTTTAATTAATTATGCTATTGATAACATATCAGTTAGGAATCATTAATTTGATCATTTGTTACTTTGGTACTCATGGTTTCTGTAAAACGAAGTGATGGACTGAATTGTGGAGAATTGAACTAACCTAATGATGTGCAGCATGTCCATATTGACACAAGTTTAAACATTTATATCATATATTGTAGGCGATCTCAGCAGCTTAGAACGCTGCTAGAGGGATACCTACAACATCATATTTTGTAGTGTAGGGCTACTGACGAAGTGACAGCATACGTTAGTTACGTTTTATTCATGTACTTAACTTACACTTAACTTAAAGTTAACTAAACTGAAAACGAAACCAACTAAAATGATTTTGTGTACTAAGAAAATAAAATAAGAATATACAGGAAATGTCTTTAGTTTTAGTCTTTGTGAATTTGGTCAAATTTTTCAACACAGCAAGCATGAGGAGGCAATGGTTCATATGTTTATAGAGACTGGGATGAGATTGAATCAATGTGTTTGTATGGTGATGGATATTCTGAACTTGTTAGCCACGCAAGCTTTATTTTGAAAGTCTAACTGGACATTGATTAACAATAGTGCATAATATGCTAAATAACCTCAGTGCGCCTCAAAAAAATATGTGTTTCATCTGCACCCAATTACAGCCAAATATGTAAATATACTGGCAAAATAAACTGTTATCACTACAATTATTACTGGTATTGTTGCTTCTGCCACTGCTTCTGCTATTATTCTTGCAATGTCATTGAGAGAAAGTCGGCACAGCTCCAGTCTGGCGAGTGATGATGTCATCAACAGTGTCAGTATTCATTATTTCCAGTGATCGAATTGAAGAAGAGCTCTGCACTTTGTTGCTCAACATCTCTCTATCTTAGTGTGTGTGCATAATGTGAATTGACCTTTGTCCCTCTGTAGGTGAGTCTCGCAGCAGTCACAGCAACAGTTTTCTTTCCTAATATTCTATAGTTATTGGTTTTCATTAAAGCTGCCATAGCTAAATTGCCAGGCCCCATGGATTCTTGCAAATGTTATTAGGTGCACTAGGAGGAGGCAGAAAAACCTGATAGTTTCAGCAAATATGACAAAAAGTTATTTTAATGAAAGTTACCTACTGCAGCTTTAATTTCATGTAATTCAAGCAGAGTAGTTATGTGGTCAGTGTGTATCTGTGACCTGCACTCAGTTTTAAACAACATATCATGAGTCATGAGTCATGCTACTTTGACAACTGTTATTAAATTGGACTGGTCGTGTGTGTGTGTGTGTGTGTGTATGCCTGTCCTTCACCGGGTCAAGGGGATTTCTCCCTGTGAGTCATTGTGGCTTGTATGAGCTGTCATATACTATCAATTTTATACTTAGATGCACAGAAAAACCTGCTGGTTGACCTTTCCAACACACACACAAAAAAACACACACCACGTATATAGTATAATTAATGTTTCTCGGTTGGACATCCTTTGACCCAGCACTCCTTAGGTCAACTTGATTTGTCTTAACAGCCTTTGCGAGCCGGGTGCATGCTGTAACCTATATTTTCCATTTAATGTCAGACATTAGCAGCTGTCGGCATGCTCACTATATCAGAGGCTTGTCAGCTAAATGGAGAGTGCGGCATGAAAAATTCAACCTGGGGAGATGAGGCAGAGCGGCTCGCCCTCCACTCGACGCTGTTCCAGACATCAATCTCTCTGTCTTGCCAAGTTCAAACGGTGTCCTGTGGTGTTACTGAGGGACACTGAGAAACGGAGCATGCTGTATGAGCCAGCATAGGCTGCTGTTTTCATACATCAGGCTGATTTAAAGGGGGATCTCAAAGAGATATTTTACTCTAGGCTCCTCTTTATGACACAGATCTCTTAGTGTCTAACCAGATATTAACCTTTTATTTCAAATGGTACCAGGCCCAATCAGAGTGATTCAATTCTGATATGATGGATAAAATGTATTTTTACCGATAATATCTTTCTTGTAGTTCAATATTGTAGCTGTTACTGGGACACATTAAAGTAAACATTCTGATCAGACTGCACACGAATATCAATGACATATGTAAATGTTGGTATCTTTAAAGATGCAGTATGTTATTTTTCTAAAAATGAGAAAGATAGTTGATTGAGTCTCATTGCCAGGTCCCAAAGTGTCGGTA